GATACGTACAGTATGTTAAGTATCTCACTGTAGGTACGTTACATAACAGTAGTTTAGTTGCTGAACTTCGACTCACAATTTTTAAAGGTAGCGCAAATTATAACGTGCGTTTACATGAACGGCAAGTACTTTGGCGCCATATTAATTGCGGGGCATGTCAATATCAGTATTTATGGACCTTTGATTATAGTCCATCCAAAATGCACGTAAATCCGAAATTCTCGAAGGCACTGGAACATGTGGTAACCTGTTTATTGCTCGGCAACGGTAAAGTATTATAATTAAACAACAACTAGATGCATTTTAGTAGGCGCAGATAGGTTCCTGCTGTTGATCTTATTTTTAATGGTTTCAGTTTCATTTTTGTTTTATTATTTAATTTTAGTTATATTTTTAGCAATTTTATTTTTAATTTACTTTAATTTCTAACCGGCATGCGCTTGCTTTTCGGATAACGTACCACGACGTTTGGCTAAATGTATTAGAAGCATGAGGGAAAAGCCTATCATTGTTTTAGTTTAATCTCCAAATTTCCTTATCGAGTCGATGTAACTGTGCTTCCAATTCGCAGATACATTTGCACAGTTTCCTGTTGGTTGAGTTTCCCATTTTAATTATCGCACGCCAAACTTAAGGTTATTTAAATGACTATTCCTTTTATCTTCTGCTTTTATATGTTTCACTATTTAATTTCTTCTTTTTTTCTTCTTAAAGATCCCTATTGCCAACGGTTCCGTAAGACAGAATCTTAGAGCTAGTGATATCAAAGGCTGCCGATCAACTTTATTGCTGCGAGGACGTGCTTTTAACGTATACGTATAGTTTGATATTGCAACTTAAAATTACACCGTCTACGTAACCGCCTATTCATCATAACTAACTGGCATGTAGCTTATTCTGAACATATTACTCTGGCTGCAGCCTACGCTTTCGTCATGCTCGGTCATCTCGACTTTGTCTTGTCACCGTTTGATGCAGTTGAAAGGGTTTAGAGTGGAGTAGATGGCGGCCACAGTCACCGTCTCTGCTCTCGGGCAAATGGTGGACATCTTCGCTTGCGATGGTCGAACCAACACAACACTAGGCTAAGGAGAAAAATCAACAGAGCTTTTTGTAATCGTTTACTGACCAAGTTCACAGGAACAGACAAGTGAAGCATTACGGGCAATCCTTGTTTGTCTACACACATCTAAACCAGGAGCACTTTCCGCTGCAACAGTCGCGGCTGCGTACGCAAAACTTATTGTCGCCCAGGCAACGCACACAGACACCTTGCCCGAAGCCGCTTATTTCGCAGACCAGGGGGTCGCAGCATCTCAGAAAGACCGTCTTGCTGCATACTTCGCCCTCTTGCTGGCAGACATCTGAATGTGCATTTCTATTAACCTTTTTTAGGAAAAACGGTAGTTTAGTATTTGGTGTTTTGCATAGACTACGCTCAGGAGTGTTCAGCAGGTCGGTGTTGACGCTTGCAGACAAGAGTTGGCAAACGGTAGATGGGCAGCTACGTACAATATGTTCAGTGTCTTACTGTATGTACGTTATATGGTAGTAGTTTATTTGCTGACATTTGACCCACAATTTTAAAAGGCAGCGCAAATTATAACATACTTTGAAAGGAACGGCAAGTACTTTGCGGCATATTTATTGCGGGGCATATCAATATCAGTTCTGTGATAATATTCCATCCAAAATTCGTCCAAATTTGAAATTCTCAAAGGCCCTGGAACATGTGGTAAAATGTATGTTGCTCAGAAACGTTACAACATTAAAACTAAACAACTAATAGATGCATTTAAGTATACTTAGTTAGGTTCCGCCTGTTGTTTATAGTTTTAATAGTTTCAGTTTAGTTCATTTTTGGTTTATTATATTATTTAAATCATCGTTTTAGTTATTTTACTTTTGATTAAATTTAATGTTTAGTGGCATGCGTTTGCTTTTCGGATAACATACTACGATATCCGGCCAACGGTTCCGTCAGACAGAATCCTAGAGCTAAGGATATTTGAGGCTGCCGATCAACTTTATTGCTGCAAGGACGTGCTTTAAATGTATACGTTTCCTTTCATATTGCAGCTCTAAATTACCCCGTCCAGGTAACCGCCTCTTCATCATCATACCTAACTGGCATGTAGCTAATTCTTAACCCATTACTAGGCTAAGGAGAAGAATCAACAAAGATTGTTGTAATCGTTTACTGACCAAGTTCACAGGAACAGATAGGGGAAGCATTATGGACAACCTTTGTTTGTCTACACACATCTGAACCAGGAGCACTTCCCGCTGCAACAGTCGCGGCTGCGTACGCAGAATTTATTGTCGCCCAGGCAACGCACACAGACGCCTCGTCCGAAGCCGCTCAGTTCGCAGACCAGGGGGTCGCAGCATCTCAGAAAGACCGTTTTGCTGCATACTTCGCCCTCCTGCTGGCAGACATTTTCTCCTGCGGTAGCGAGGGAGGGATAAAAATTAATTGACGTGCGTATGATGCAAAACCATAAAAAGTATAAGTGCGAATGTATATGTTCCTGAAAACTGTGAATGTTTCATTTGAGAGCAGCGATGTAGTTTGACAACACGATGTAGGGAGAAGTATGTAAACACCCTATAATCAATAGAAAAGAAGTTTAAATAGTGACCAGCCGAGCACACATAAGGCAGATTGGGGCCGCTAGGGAAAGATTGGGCGAACGAAAAGCAGCTGAACTCAGAAAAATAAAAACTAAAACGAAGGGAAACGTGCGTCTGCACGTAATAATCAAAACGTGCTTCAATCAACGAAGACAATTCAGTCAGTTATCACAAATGGCAAAACTGTCTTGTAGGGCAATCTACATTCCCCTGCTCAACTATCTTACGGAATTGGCACTTTAACATTTAATTCTTGGTTAACGAGTGCAAATGAATGTGCATTTGTGTTGAAGCGATTGAGGAATATTAAATTAAAGACAGTTATACTTGTTTTAATGAGCTAAAAACAATCAATTCCATCAACGTAAATTTCTGTTGCTCAGGTAACTAATGCCTACTGATGGAGATTCGGCGTTATATTAGTTGAATTTAATGAAAAAAAGGAAATTTGACCTTATGCGAAAAGAATAGAAAGTCTGGTTGCTGAAAATGTAAAAAGAGGTTGCCGTTATAATTCATGGGCAAATAGAACCTCTAAAGACATTCCAACCGAAAGTGCTAACCAAACACTAACCATCTCTAATGTATTTATTAGGTTCATTAAGTGGTTTAGCCACTTATATTTTTTTAATGAGCTAAATATAACTTCAACTTCATTAACATAAACCCCCGCTGCTCAGGCAACAGGCCTAGTCCACTTCAAGCTTTACTTTGTGCCTACAGAAAAGTCAATACATGTATTATTGTTGAACTTTGATAGTACGAGTGGGATATCGATTAATTTGTCAAAGAAACGTAACCATTTCCTTGTAAATAAATCTTTAGTCCTGACTATTCCTTTTCTTCCTTTGATTTTGTCATTGACTGATATGCGTCTTAGCATGTTTAAGCCACGGTTCTATCCATGCATACACTGTGTTCCTCAATCTGAATCTTTACATCCCCATATGCTGGGCTGTTGCTTATCTTTTGACCATTTTCCGAAGGAAATTGGAAGCACTACGATTTACGTTATGTTTATATGAACTCTTTATGCATTTAAACGTCGTGGGTAAAAAATGAGCTCCAGGCAACTCTAGATTACAAGCATAAATGAACTGTCGTAATTATTATGCCGATAACTTTTGGTGTTACCATATAATCCAGAATGAAAAACTATACCTACACATTTCTTAAATGGTTCCACGGTAAGTCCATCACCTCGAAAACTAGTAATGAACTATTTTAAATAGAAAAAACTCTCCCATTCTTGGTGCAGTAATTAAATTCACTAGTTCAATTGTACGAAAAAAATCATAGAAGATCTCACCGGAAACCGAGCCGACAACCAACAAGCTCAGAAGGATTGCTAGGAATCCAGTCATCATGGTTGTCTGCAAGTTGAACGTACCTTACTTATATACTGCGTTCGTGGTAAATGTCGGCTCACGCACTTTACATGCCCAACCTGGCGAACCTTTGGTTTGGCATTGCAAAAAATGATAATCTACCCAGCACTTAAACTACTGGAGTTTAGTAAGTCCAAAGTTTTTCTAGTGGACTTCAAGATGCAAACACGTCTCCACTTAAAATGACCTTCGATCCCACTCGACGATACTGCAGTCGAATACTAGAAGTAGCGACTTTTAGCAAATATTTCATTTGTTTTTTTCAGTCAACCCTCTCGAAACGTACCTTTTACGTCGGTTGAGGATGCAATTTCTTAACTGATGGGTTTGCGTTAGGAATGATACATAAGCAGTGTCCCTAAATTATTCGCACCCAAATACCATACTCACAGTTTTTGATACACTATATTTTTCACAATTTACTGCATAGAAAAATTTCCTTTGACACTAGGGACAGCTTCTACCCCACTCAGAATCGGGTGAATGAGATTCTGGAGGGTCTCCAAGGTGAACTTTCTGCGGGCGTCCAATAGGGATCTCTCTAATCCAGCAACAGTAGTAGGAGCAGACAAAGTTGCCAGCGGACTCGATAAATCATTCCCGGCCAGGCCAACAAACTACTATACGATCATAGTACCTACTGCGTGAGAATGGGTATCCCGAGATGTTTATTACAAGGAATATGGCTGAGAAACAAATGAAAACCACCGCACCTACTGTAGAAAATAAATTACTATTCCTCAAACTCCCCTTTTGAGGGGACGCAGCAAGTGAACTGCTGAAAAGGCGCCTTGACCAAGCAATTGCAAGAACCTTCCCAGCAGCCAGAGATCAGGTATTATTCTCGAACAACCCAATCTTACTTGAGGAAGGTAAGGAAAGGTTACCAGCTCAGACCACCGCAATGTGCATCTACTCTTTCACTTGTTCCTGTGGAGCAGGTTAGATTGGTCGCGCGAGCCGGCGCCTATCCAAAAAAATAAAGGAACACCTCCCGGCATGACTGAGAAAAGGTGAAGTCACGAGCATAAACAGCTCCATTAAGGCGCACATGGTCGATTCCGGACATCGGGTGGACACAAACGAAGCTTTCCGGGTGATCTACAGGGTCCCACTAAATTATCCGATGTCCTGGGTCAGCATCTGCTAGCAATAGCAGAAGCGACCGCTATCAGGCTGATGAAGCCCGCGTCGTGTGCACAAAAGAACTTCCTACAAG